CGCAACAAAGCCTCCTTCACTCATGCTGCCAAACATGCCCTCGTAAAACTGACTATCCTACCGATCCTTGACTTCGGCGATGTCATTTACAAAATAGCCTCCAACACTCTACTCAGCAAATTGGATGTAGTCTATCACAGTGCCATCCGTTTTGTCACCAAAGCCCCATATACTACCCACCACTGTGACCTGTACGCTCTTGTTGGCTGGTCCTCACTACATATTCGTCTCCAAACCCACTGGCTCCAGGCCATCTATAAATCACTGCTAGGCAAATCCCTGCCTTATCTTAGCTCATTGGTCACCATAGCAACACCCACCCGTAGTATGCGCTCCATCAGGTATATCTCACTGGTCATCCCCAAAGCCAACACCTCCTTTGGCCGCCATTCCTTCCAGTTCTCTGCTGCCAATGACTGGAACGAATTGCAAAAATCTCTGAAGCTGGAGACTCTTATCTCCCTCACTAACTTTAAGCATCAGTTGTCAGAGCACCTTACCGATCACTGCACCTGTACACAGCCCATCTGAAATTAGCCCACCCAACTACCTCATCCCCATATTGTTATTTATTTTGCTAATTTGCACCCCAGTATCTCTATTTGCACATCATCTCTTGCACATCTATCATTCCAGTGTTAATACTAATTGTAATTATTTTGCACTATAGCCTATTTATTGCCTTACCTCCATAACTTGCTACATTTGCACACACTGTATATATATATTCTGTTGTATTTTTGACTTTATGTTTTGTTTACCCCATATGTAACTCTGTGTTGTTTTTTTTATCGCACTGCTTTGCTTTATCTTGGACAGGTCGCAGTTGTAAATGAGAACTTGTTCTCAACTGGCTTACCTGGTTAAATAAAGGTGAAATAAAAAAATTAAAAAATAAAGAATTTTGATACACCCTGGAAACTGTTGAGCGTGAAAAACCTAGCAGCGTTGCAGTTCTTGACACACTCAAACCGGTGCGTTTTGGAATGAAACTCTTCAGTTCTCTTTAAGGAGCATAAAGATTCTGTCTCTTTAAGATGTGTCTAGAATCATAACTTTAGCTTTATCTAGCTTTCAAATGGGAGGGGTTGCCTCTGGTACAGTCACATCCAAAATTATTGGCACCCTTGATAAAGATGAGCAAAAAAGATTGTATAAAATAAATAATACAAATACCGAGCTACTGTATATTGTATGCTAAAACATTTTTGACAATTATTTTATACCAATTCAATTGCTCAGAGAAAAATATTTAATTTAACACGGGGGGTTTTTTACTACTCAAAAAGATAGGGGTGCCAATACTTTTGACACTTAACAATTATTTTAATCTCCATTAACATTCTACTTTTTTAAGTTTATCTCAGCTTAACAAACGGTATTGTGGCCTTCAATGGCTTCCTGTTTTTCTGGGGTATAAAAATTAGGTAACACGCATGTAAAGTCCGTTTGTCATCCATCACCATGGGGAAAGGCAAAGAGCTCACAAATGAAAAGAGACAAATGGTTGTTGACTTTCATAAATCAGGCAACGGGTACAAAAAAACAATGATGGAAAAAACTAATATACCACTATTAAGGCAACAATTAAGAAGTTTAAAAACCCTGGAACAGTGTTAAACTTGCCTAGTAGAGGACCCAAGTGTATCTTGTCCCCACGCACAGTGAGGAAGATGGTTCGGGAGGCAAAGGAAATTCCAAGTCCCACCGTTGGAGAATTACAGAACTTGGTCGAATCTTGGGGTCACCAAGTCTCCAAATCTACAATTAGACGCCACCAAACCAATGGACTATTTGAAAGGGTTGCCATAAAAAAGCCTTTAATGAGAGCAACCAACAAAAGTAAACGCTTGGAGTTTGCTAAATGGCATTGGCTCTTGGATTGGAAACCAGGTGCTATGGTCAGATGAGATGAAAATAGAGCTCTTTGGCCATGGACACAAGTGATGGGTTTAGCCTTGAAAAAAGGATGCATATGCAAAAAAGAATATCATACCTACTGCAAAATGTGGTGGCGGATCTTTGATGTTATGAAGCTGTTTTGCTTCCACTGGTCCTGGGGCCCTTGTTAAGGTCAACAGCATTATGAACTCTACCAAGTATCATGCAGGACAATTTAGCTAAAAATCTGGTTGCCTCTGCCAGGTGGTTGAAACTTGGCCACAAGTGGATCTTCCAGCAAGACAATGACCCCAAGCAAACACCAAAATCCACAAAGAAATGGTTAACTGACCACAAAATCAACATTCAGTCTCCGGACTTGAACCTCAATCAAAACCTGGGGTTTGAATTGAAGAGGGCAGTCCATAAGTGCAGACTGAAGGATATCAAGGATCTAGAAAGATTCTGTATGGAGGAATGGTCTAAGATCCCTCCCAATGTGTTCTTCAAACTCATTAAACATTATAGAAAAAAAGGCTAAGTGTCGTTATCCACGCAATGGGAGGGTGCACTAAGTACAAAAAAAGGGGTGCCAATATATACATATACAGTGGGGGGAAAAAGTATTTAGTCAGCCACCAATTGTGCAAGTTCTCCCACTTAAAAATATGAGAGAGGCCTGTAATTTTCATCATAGGTACACGTCAACTATGACAGACAAAATGAGAAAAAATAATCCAGAAAATCACATTGTAGGATTTTTAATGAATTTATTTGCAAATTATGGTGGAAAATACGTATTTGGTCAATAACAAAAGTTTCTCAATACTTTGTTATATACCCTTTGTTGGCAATGACACAGGTCAAACCTTTTCTGTAAGTCTTCACAAGGTTTTCACACACTGTTGCTGGTATTTTGGCCCATTCCTCCATGCAGATCTCCTCTAGAGCAGTGATGTTTTGGGGCTGTCGCTGGGCAACACGGACTTTCAACTCCCTCCAAAGATTTTCTATGGGGTTGAGATCTGGAGACTGGCTAGGCCACTCCAGGACCTTGAAATGCTTCTTACGAAGCCACTCCTTCGTTGCCTGGGCGGTGTGTTTGGGATCATTGTCATGCTGAAAGACCCAGCCACGTTTCATCTTCAATGCCCTTGCTGATGGAAGGAGGCTTTCACTCAAAATCTCACGATACATGGCCCCATTAATTATTTCCTTTACACGGATCAGTCGTCCTGGTCCCTTTGCAGAAAAACAGCCCCAAAGCATGATGTTTCCACCCCCATGCTTCACAGTAGGTATGGTGTTCTTTGGATGCAACTCAGCATTCTTTGTCCTCCAAACACGACGAGTTGAGTTTTTACCAAAAAGTTCTATTTTGGTTTCATCTGACCATATGACATTCTCCCAATCCTCTTCTGGATCATCCAAATGCACTCTAGCAAACTTCAGACGGGCCTGGACATGTACTGGCTTAAGCAGGGGGACACGTCTGGCACTGCAGGATTTGAGTCCCTGGCGGCGTAGTGTGTTACTGATGGTAGGCTTTGTTACTTTGGTCCCAGCTCTCTGCAGGTCATTCACTAGGTCCCCCCGTGTGGTTCTGGGATTTTTGCTCACCGTTCTTGTGATCATTTTGACCCCACGGGGTGAGATCTTGCGTGGAGCCCCAGATCGAGGGAGATTATCAGTGGTCTTGTGTGTCTTCCATTTCCTAATAATTGCTCCCACAGTTGATTTCTTCAAACCAAGCTGCTTACCTATTGCAGATTCAGTCTTCCCAGCCTGGTGCAGGTCTACAATTTTGTTTCTGGTGTCCTTTGACAGCTCTTTGGTCTTGGCCATAGTGGAGTTTGGAGTGTGACTGTTTGAGGTTGTGGACAGGTGTCTTTTATACTGATAACAAGTTCAAACAGGTGCCATTAATACAGGTAACGAGTGGAGGACAGAGGAGCCTCATAAAGAAGAAGTTACAGGTCTGTGAGAGCCAGAAATCTTGCTTGTTTGTAGGTGACCAAATACTTATTTTCCACCATAATTTGCAAATAAATTCATAAAAAATCCTACAATGTGATTTTCTGGAGAAAAAAAATCTCAATTTGTCTGTCATAGTTGACGTGTACCTATGAATTACAGGCCTCTCTCATCTTTTTAAGTGGGAGAACTTGCACAATTGGTGGCTGACTAAATACTTTTTTTCCCCACTGTATTCTTTTTACTTGTTAATCAAAATATTTTTCTCTGAGCATATATATTCCTATAAAATATTATAATTATTTGAGCATACAACATAGCTCAGTATTTGTATTATTTATTCTAAACAGTCTTTTTTGCTCATCTTTATCAAGGGTGCCAATAATTTCAGATGTGACTGTATATGCATATTCCGTTAAAAATCTTGAACCTAAAGTATAACTCCCAAGGCTTATTTGTCAGATTTTTGATATATTATGTTGTTTATTCAATCTCGCCAGATATGTTAATTCAATCTGGTAATAATCTGGAAATAATAATGGCTCAGTGAACAGTGCATCAAAATACTCCAGTGGGTACTGTAAATCGTGTGTCTGTAAATCTCTCTCTGTACATTCCTTGTGATAGTTTATAGTTTCATAAATAAACGGTCAGTCTTAAAAATAAAGATGTGTATAATCTAAAAATAAACATCAGTGGTTGTTAATGTCATCATGAAACACAATTTCATTTATCAAGCTTGTGAGTTCATTTTTCTCTGTTCTTACAAACCATTGATTGGGAATTTGCATATTCACTGAGACATGAGACTACATGAGTTTATTTCATGTTTATTTCATGGGTGAGCTGTTGGCTCATCGCATCCAGAATCTCACCTCTTTTCTGGACCACTCACTTTTCCTAGAATGTAAACTTCCATATTCCATCCCTGACATGTTACATCATGCCTGACTCATGATGGAACATGTCTGGCAATGGGTTTAACCAATCTTACATTTTCGTCTGTTGTAAACTGTAAATCTTTATGACTAGAGAGACATCATGTGGACAACAACAGTATTGCCTCACCTCTGATCTGCACAACAAGCTTGGGACAGATGGTCACTTCTTGCACTGATGTCAGATGCTGTCAGTAGTCCAGTGGCCACAGATGAGAGGAACGCACACATGAGTAGGATGTCCTCAACACAGCAAAGACAGAGGGAACAGATATAACTCATCCACCTAGAATGCCATACAAAGTGACAAATGAGTAGCAGTCTTATTCCTTCTCATCACAGATTGTAATTCTGACAAGGATATGCCTCATGTCTGGTAAGATTACTTATTTTCAGACTCTTAAAACAATTCATGCGAACAGTATTTGTAAACTCATGATCACAAAGACTCTCTGCTAGGCATATGTCTGTTATGTCTGATCAAAATATGTTATCCCACCTATTAATTATAAAGGTGGAATTTGCTATACAACTCATGTAATGCCTGTAAACTGACAATGAGGTGTTCATTTGTCTGACTATATAAATATATATTTTCACAGGGAGTCTCTTTTTGGCATATGGCTCAGTGTCCAGTTTTAATTCGTTATCAAAAATTTAAAGTTGATCATCCTGACATCTTAATAATATTCTAATAGCAGAAGTCACTTGATTGGTGCCATAGAAAGTGATAGTGTTTTCTGTGTGACTTACAAGCAGGTAGCAGGACAGTGGGACATGAGCCTCACTAGACTCCACTAATAGTCCTCTAATGCTCAATTATCTGGGGATCTGCCTGAAAAGCTTATAAGGACCTTCAACGTAGAGTATACTCTGTTGCTAGACAGATTAAGGCAACCCAATTTATCCTTGTGTGCAGAGGTGAGCATGTGATCAACAAGGTGCATGTGCACAATGAAAGTAATGGTTTGAGTGCTGAGGGTATTGCTGTTTAAAAAATATATATATATTTAATTGTGTTACATACTTTTCAATATTTTTTCCAGCTTTTGAGACCACCTGCGAGCGACATTGTGTATTCAAAAATACACAATTCCTTTTTGGAGTTTTGTAACGGTATGTCCTACTGTTGGGGTGTTTGTTTGCTTAGCATTGTTCTGTGACTGGAGCACTTTACCATATGTTCAAAACAAAGAGGCTCAATGACTCAGTCGGCATCAAGCCAACCCTCATTTCCTCATCTGCATCCTCTATTTTAACAAAATGTGTGACCCAGAGAGGATCTCAGTTTCCTTTTCTGGTTCCTGGGGATAGGGTTGTGTAGTACAGAGGGATTTTTCTTGAAATACATGGTATTCATACAATCTATTATCTACCTTAGATGTAAATGTGGAGACTAGCTATGTAGAGTCCAGTTTGATCATTTATAGTATTTTAGTTCTCATTTACAACTGCGACCTGGCCAAGATAAAGCAAAGCAGTGCGATAAAAACAACAACACAGAGTTGTATATGGGGTAAAACAAAACATAAAGTCAAAAATACAACAGAAAAATATATATACAGTGTGTGCAAATGTAGCAAGTTATGGAGGTAAGGCATAAATAGGCTATAGTGCAAAATAATTACAATTAGTATTAACACTGGAATGATGGATGTGCAAGAGATGATGTGCAAATAGAGATACTGGGGTACAAATGAGCAAAATAAATAACAATATAGGGATGAGGTAGTTGGGCGGGCTAATTTCAGATGGGCTGTGTACAGGTGCAGTGATCGGTAAGGTGCTCTGACAACTGATGCTTAAAGTTAGTGAGGGAGATAAGAGTCTCCAGCTTCAGAGATTTTTGCAATTTGTTCCAGTCATTGGCAGCAGAGAACTGGAAGGAATGGCGGCCAAAGGAGGTGTTGGCTTTGGGGATGACCAGTGAGATATACCTGCTGGAGCGCATACTATGCGTGGGTGTTGCTATGGTGACCAATGAGCTAAGATAAGACGGGGATTTGCCTAGCAGTGATTTATAGATGGCCTGGAGCCAGTGGGTTTGGCGACGAATATGTAGTGAGGACCAGCCAACAAGAGCGTAGAGGTCACAGTGGTGGGTAGTATATGGGGCTTTGGAGACAAAACGGATGGCACTGTGATAGACTACATCCAATTTGCTGAGTAGAGTGTTGGAGGCTATTTTGTAAATGACATCGCCGAAGTCAAGGATCGGTAGGATAGTCAGTTTTACGAGGGCATGTTTGGCAGCATGAGTGAAGGAGGCTTTGTTGCGAAATAGGAAACCGATTCTAGATTTAACTTTGGATTGGAGATTCTTAATGTGAGTCTGGAAGGAGAGTTTACAGTCTAACCAGACACCTAGGTATTTGTAGTTGTCCACATACTCTAGGTCAGACCCGTCGAGAGTAGTGATTCTAGTCGGGTGGGCGGGTGCAAGCAGCGTTCGGTTGAAGAGCATGCATTTAGTTTTACTAGTGTTGAAGAGCAGTTGGAGGCTACTGAAGGAGTGTTGTATGGCATTGAAGCTCGTTTGGAGGTTTGTTAACACAGTGTCCAATGAAGGGCCAGATGTATACAAAATGGTGTCATCTGCGTAGAGGTGGATCTGAGAGTCACCAGCAGCAAGAGCGACATCATTGATATACACAGAGAAAAGAGTCGGCCCAAGAATTGAACCCTGTGGCACCCCCATAGAGACTGCCATAGGTCCAGACAACAGGCCCTCCGATTTGACACATTGAACTCTATCTGAGAAGTAGTTGGTGAACCAGGCGAGGCAGTCATTTGAGAAACCAAGGCTATTTAGTCTGCCAATAAGAATGCGGTGGTTGACAGAGTCGAAAGCCTTGGCCAGGTCGATGAAAACGGCTGCACAGTACTGTCTATTATCGATCGCGGTTATAATATCGTTTAGGACCTTGAGCGTGGCTGAAGTGCACCCATGACCAGCTCGGAAACCGGATTGCATAGCGGAGAAGGTACGGTGGGATTCGAAATGGTCGGTGATCTGTTTGTTAACTTGGCTTTCAAAAACTTTCGAAAGGCAGGGCAGGATGGATATGGGTCTGTAACAGTTTGGATCTAGAGTGTCACCCCCTTTGAAGAGGGGGATGACCGCGGCAGCTTTTCTGCCTATTACAGATGTCATATAATTATCTCTGGCTGTATTTGACTCTCCTCTCCTCTTGTTGCAGGTGCAAGACAGGAAATAGTCTGATTCACACACTTCTCACAGGAGCTTCCTGTTTCCTCAGCTCTTACATTCTAACAACATGAAGCATTCGTCACATTCTTTCAGTAGATTAATGAAGCAAAGTCCTGTCCCAATGGAATACTGACAATATACTGGCTTGGCGTTGACTGTTGACGTATGCTCCCAATTGAGATTAATCCAGGAAAACAACACGGATGGCCTTAATTGCTAAATAAAAGCACGGTCATTATCCAGACCTGTTGAACGGCTGCTCCAAGATGGCAGACCCCAGCTCGCTCTTGGTCACTGATGGGGAAGTGCTGAGTCAGGCTGAAGTGGATCAATATATCCTCTCTGGCTTGGCTGAAGTTGATTCGTGTGAGTTGGGGTTCACTAGGAAGTATGAACTTATCCCATCCATCGTCTGCTCAGTATGCCTTTTGTTAGGCCTCATCTACTGCTTTTTTGGTAAGTTCCTGACCTGTAATAGAGGACAGTTGTAACTTCCACATGTGTATTCTCAAGACTTACACATTAAAGACATGATAGACATATCTACAATTCAATTACAGTATTTCCACAAAACACTCCAATGCTCCACTGTAGATACATCATTATTTAATTCCCAGTTGACCTTTAACCTCATCATACTAACTTAAACTATTTCATCAGCTCACTCTAAGCCTTATAGTAAAAACAGGAGGGCCAGGTGTCTGGGCTGGGCTAGCCAGGGGTATAATGGATAAGCTCCAGACTAGGAGAGAGGCAGATGGGCCTCCTGGTTCTGTTGCATTCCTCTGCGAGAAAGTCAAGAAACAGCCACCTGGGAGGATGCAGGCAGCCTCCTGGCCTGGTCCAAATCCAGTAAATCCAACAGATGCACTTGCTGTGAATGTTGATGTCTGATAAAAAAAAACACTTCGTTTTTCTTAAGCAGACTATGCATAATGTGATGTATACTTTCTCTCTAATATTCTGTAAACTGTACAGTACACCAAAGGGAAACTCTGACGTCTACAAATTACTTCTTTAAAAAAAACAATCCCTTCTCAGTCAAACTTAGTTCACTTTAGTACACTTTGTTTCCTTCTCCATCTTGTTACTTAACATCCCCCCACTTGTCTCTCTTTCTTTAGGATACCGTTGCTTTAAGATGGTTATGTTCCTGTCAGGCTTCATTTTTGGGTCTACACTAGTCTGCCTGTTGTACCTTAAGGAGCCTGTGCTGGATACCCAGTTGAGTATGGAGACCAAAGCAGGCATCCTCCTGGGAGTGGCTGTACTCTGTGGCCTGGTGACTATGCTGGTACAGACTGTGGGGCTCGTCATTACCGGCCTAGAGCTGGGGTGTCTGATCACCCTTGCCAACCTACTGGTTGTCAGACAGTTTTACAGCCTTACCCCACTATGGGCGCCTCTTGGTGCACTCCTGGCCACGAGCACATTTTGTGCCACTCTCACACTGCAGTGGCAGAAACAATTCACTGTGCTCTCCACGGCAGCAGTCGGAGCCGCTGTGGTGATGGCATGCGTGGACGACTTTGTAGAGACGTCGCTGCTGGCTGGCCATGCATACGACATCCTGTCTCAGGTTCCCCCTCGCCCCCTCTGCTGGTACAGCTGGGTTATAACAGCCGTGTTTCCTCTATTCAGTCTGATGGGGGTAGTGGTGCAATGGATGCTCACTGCCAAAGGAGTGTCCCACACAGAAGGTGAGTGGCACAGTTTCATCAAAAATATGGAATGCTTACTTCCTCGATGTCATCACTACTTCATTTGATACTTAGGTTAAATTTAACATGTACACTGACTGGTTACAAGTTACAACATAATTATCTCTTTTTCTGTCCCATGCTAATTTACATTGAATGCCCCCCAGTACCTGTCAGTGGAGGACAAAGACAGGTCCAACTGATGCGAATCAGACAGAGAGATGCCCAGAGACGACCCCAGCAGGGCATTTTCCGCCATCGCAAGCCTCCAATTCTACAGCGTTATGCTGGAGACGTCCTGGCCCCAGTGAGTTACTTCACTCCTAATGGGCATGTCCTAATGGGCATGAATGAGCTTGATTGAAACACTTTTTTTTTTTTAATGTTATGCACATAGATAATAAACAATTAGTTGCATGTCATGTTTTAAAAGATAGAAACAATTGACCAATATAAACATTTAAAAAATCATCCTAGACAATAATGCAACAATAATGTTTTCCTTACCACTTTACCTTACAGAGTTACATCCAGAGCTTTCGTGACCGACAGATGGGTACAGGTTCCTCTAGCAGCAGCATCATCAGCAACAGCACAGTCAACCACACCATGATACTTTGACTTTGAGACAGGCTTCATGGTTCCCCTGACTGTCTCCTCCCTAGTCTATAGGGTCTGAGGGACAACCACCAAATAGTAGGCATCACCTCCCAGTTCCACTAAGGTGCCCAACACCTCTCTCCAGCAGACAATTCATAGACTGTTCTTTTTTTTTTTTTTTTTTTTTTTGCAACAGACTGATTCTTGAGACAAGAGATTTACCTTGTTGTTTTGTTTATTATTCACAGTCTTTCTAAGGTATCAGACAGTCAATCGTAATATAACCATTGATCATTCCTTAAATAAATAAAATTGCTTTATTTTGGTCTGTTTGCTAATATACATTTTAGTGAAGACATCCATTGTTACAGTTTTATGCACAGTGTACAAGAGGGGGAAATATAGTTTTGGGGATTTACGTACATTGTACATGCCTTGCACAAGAGATATAGTATTTAAACATTTTTGTCACTCTTCTGTTGTCAAAGTAAATAAACATCCTTAAATGTTACTATTGTTGTGTCGAGTAAACTTTGCTAATTATGCTGTGAGACCAAGGAGAACCGCTGACGCTGTATTTTCATCATAAAGGTTTATTCATAACAAAGGGTTACAGCGTCGATTTACAGATACCTGCAGATACCTGGAGAATAATCGCCCCATCTCAAATCTGATTATTCTGTCGTCCTTTGTCCCAACTGTGGTATATATTCTATCCTGCTGTGGGTGGTTTCCCATACAGACCAATCACCTGTCTCCACACAACAGACTTCCTCTGTTCTATGGTGTGTCCCTCTAAAACTACTCCCTCTAAGCTGAATAAACCTCCTCTCAGGTTCCTTTTGAAAACATTAGCAAAGTCATAATTCCTCAGATACTACACTATATTTCACCTCAGAGGGTTAGGTGATATACTGGCAAGGCTATAGTGTCATTACAGTGACATTCTGGTTCTGGAGGTTGATGTAGTACTGTACAAATGAAACACCACTGACCTCTAACGGCCTACAGATCACATTGCAACCATTTTTCACTAGTTCTGAGAGGGTAGCCCTTATCCACAACTTGGTTATTGTTGATGCGCCAGTACTAGTTACCTTTGAAAACGTATATATGGCTGTTTGTCCATGTGAAGGCAGCATTCGGGTTGTAGGGTACCCCAGAGAAGAAATGTGAGATGGGTTTGGGATATGTGCTGGAATCCATTGCCCTAGCTTCAGCCCACTGCCAATACTGAGAACCCTAAGGGATAGAACAAAATGTAACTATTATCTGGTCGCTACATCCCACTCATTCTGAAATGGTTTAGACTAGAGGGTGTGTTACATGCTCACATATTATCCCAAAACCATTGTTTGTTTGTTTGTTGGTTTGCTCCTTACCTTGAATAATATGAATTTGTTTTTCCAGTTAAAGTACAAGGCTGAATTGACATTAGAATGAATGCTGGCCAAGTTTGGGAAAGCCAATGTCGATTTTGAATCTTGTATATCACCACACTTTGTCTCCTGAGTAAAGAACATGACAGTGACACATGAAAACTACAATACTGAGAAAAATTCCAGAACTGAAAAGGGGACAGCGTAGCCTGGTCCAAGATCTGTGTGATGTTTTGTCGACTCCTATGTATAGGTAGAACAATGTTTGGTAATGACAACGAAGTTGGCAAGACAGCACAAACTGATTTGGGACCAGGCTAGGAACCGTGTGATTCAGGGCAAAAAGGTATACCTTTTAGGAAGTAGGACTTGTTGGTCCTCTGAGAGTAAACAGCTGCATTGAGGCTCCCTGGAAGATCTTTCCACAGCACAGAGATCAGGATGGGTGTGTTGTAACCAGTAGTGTCAGACACTGTCCACACATACTGACCGCTTAAGACGTATGTCTTGCGAAAAGGACCTGGGTGGTGGATAAATGTCAGACAAACAAACACTTGTAAATACTGTATATCCTAAGGAAAGTGCTATTTTGCAGTTTCATATAGAGTTTACATTGTGTTTGTAGGACAGAAATTGGGATTAAATCTTTACGGTACCTACCTAACATTATTGCATCCATGGTACCCTTGTAAGAATGTGGCGGACCTGCCTCTAGGGTTGGATGATTTGGCTTTCTGGATACTGTGGGACGATTGGCTGGCTTCCCTAAAGAAGAACAGAAAAGGCAAAGGTTTCAAACACATAACGTCTTGAACGTGTCTTTATCATCTACATACACATCCACAGGAAATTGAAGTCTTACTACGGAATTATTTTATGTCTTATCAGATATTGATCACATAATCTGTATTAATCAAATAAAATAACTAATTATCCAGCCCCCATCATAGAGAGCTGGGATTCCACAGATGCCATCAGGATTTAGTTTGAAGCTGGCACGGTAACCAGGGTAAACGGGTCCCATTAGAGCCTTGTGGTATTGAGAGTGACCCAGGCCAAGGACATGACCAATCTCATGGGCTGCTACAATCCTCAGGTTACAGCCAGAAGACTTCCCCTCTGTCCACTACTTGTCTTTGTCAAAATGCACAATGCCCGACTCAGGGTTGTCTGCATGGGCTAACACTCCCCCTAATGACAGAGGATTGTTTCAGACAGGTGAAAATACAGATGTTATCACGTTCTGATGCATATACAGTAGATCAGGGTTCTTCAATTCCGGTCCTGGAGGGCCGAAACACCTCTGTTTTTCATCCTCTCCTTCTAATCAGGGGCTAATTCAGACCTGGGACACCAGGTGAGTGCTATTAACTACCAGGTAGAAATAAAAAACAGAAGTGTTTCGGCCCTCCAGGACCGGAATTGAAGAACCCTGCAGTAGATTGTCTACATCAGACTCATGTCATGTTCTGGTCACTTCAGTTGAGATCTGAAAAGTCTTCTTTCACACATCCAAACTGCAGTGACAGTTGGACGTCTATGGAGTACTCTGACTCTCACCTGGTCTGTCGAAGGGCACTGGACAAGATCTATCACTCTTATGAAACAATATTTTAATGTCTGCTCTTCACAGAAACAACACCTCCCAGACATTCAGGGGTGGCATCTCAGTCCAGTACCTAAACGCAGACCGGAGGACCGCACGTGTTTTTGCCAGGCCCAAATCTGGGGTGTAGCTATAGATGCAGTAGGTCAGCATTATCTTACACCAAGTAGAACCTGTGGAAATGGGCATTAGTTAAATATAGCAGTCAAAAATAGTTTATGGCAAGGCTTTGTTTTGACCCTTAGTTGATTGTGTGGGCATATTTTCCTCACACCAAGTCAAGATCATCTAACAATGAAGCCGGAAGAGATAAATAAAATGACCCACCCATGACTTGATATTTGAGGGATTTGTCATTGAAGGAGTCCTCAATACCACACCAAGGTTGTTTCATCATTGCCAATGTGGCCTTATTAAGTGTTGCTGAGATAGCTAAGTTAGTTGCCTTCTGGAATGTTCTAAAGGTTCTTATAGTTAAACACATATGTAGTATATTGAGTATGTAAGACTACCAAGCTTAAAGCAGAAGAACATGCTACGAAGTGTGATGTTTGGTGGTTACCTCAGTGCCCCTGTCATTTCCTAAGTCTGATAAACTTGGCTCATACTATTGTCCAGTGGGATTTGCAGGTAGCCATAGTTCCTTAAATAGACCTAAGGAGATGTGGCACTGGCAGACATATTAACATTAACAGTATTAATAGGTACATGTTTGGCATGACAACAAACGAACACAGGGAGGAGTTGGCTAAAGCTCAGATCAGGCTGTTTAGTAAATAATGAATTGCAGCAGTTCTCATTTGTAATCTATTATCTGGTATATTCTTACCATGGCTTCCATGAGTTCCTCCCTGTTCAAGGCAATGGATGACACTGTTGTCAGCAAGACAAAAAACAGCATGAACTCCATCTAATAATCCATTTTAAGATATTGATGTTTTCAAGTACTGTATCTCTTTTTCTGTTTCTTATTTCTTCAGTGAGATACAGTGTGATGAAAACAAACGAAGAACTCTATCCAATAAAATAAGATCCAATATTTCAGGTAAAGTTTATCCATCTAGATGAGTCTTCTAAGCCTACTTTATCATTTTTATTCTGTTGGTCCCGGTCTCATAATGTTCTATGGAACTCTGTTGTTTATGGTTTCATATACAGCTTTTATACCATTGTCTGCCTACTGGGACCTGTTTCCAACCACATAATAAACCATTAGAGGAATGCATACTGGGATTACTTTAGAGCAAATAAATACTCCAGACACCGACAGCAACTCATAAAGTACACAGCCCACTTACACTGCAACTTACAACTATCCCAAAATCTATCCGCTTTCAACGGATAAAATTGCCCCTAAATACCCTATATTACGTCAGAGGAACACAATAAAATAATTAAGTCAATATAACTAACAACTTTTAAAGGTCTATTCTTGGTCAGTTTAAATGACAATTGAGACAGGGTTACAATACAGATGGTGTATTCAATGCATCTTATATTGCATAGTTAATGAACAATGAAACATTCACTACCAGGGAAAGACAGTGTGTGTGATGGATTTACAAAATGTATCACTGAAGTTGCTCAATCAAGATTCTTGTTTCTCTCCATAAATATGTAGTCTGTGAGATAAAAACCTAATCCTCCAATAATGTAAATTAGATTTACAACTGTCCTATAAGAGAAAAACAACTAACCACATTTCCATTCCGAGACAATCGTTAATTAGTATGCTTATATATAAGAACTATTACCATATCAATGTCACATTTTTGCCTCTTGATGTCACCTGGGCCCAGTTTTTCCAAACCTTTAATCTGGATCAGAATGGATTATGTAATCCTCTTTTTTGCAATGCAAGATCAGATCGATCTGGCTGTTTTTAAGACGGTTATTCAGCAAATAACCGGATAGGATCATTCTGATTCAGATTACACAATATCAAGATCACAGAATCCGGCTTTTCAGGCCTACACCTTGCCATCTACTGGACAGGTTATGGTACTACTTCTACACTGTCATAGTGAAACAGATATGAGTAAACAACATTAATAAAGGTACCTAGATTTTAAATAGTCTGCATATCACATAAGTACATGCAATTATTTGACACTTCAATATAACAACTGACCACATACCTATACTGCGGCTAATTTAACATAACCATTGGTTTTCAGATGCAAGATTGTTTTTTAAACCTTGTCACCTTAGTTATAACTGAACAAAAATATAAACGCAACAATTTCAAAGATTTTGCTGAGTTACAGTTCATATAAGTTAATCAGTCAATTGAAATAAATTCATTAGGCCCTAATCTATGGATTTCACATGACTGGTCAGGGGCGCAGGCATGGGTGGGCATAGGCCCACCAGCTGGGGAGCCAGGCCCACCCACTGGGGAGCAAGGCCCAGCCAATCAGAATTAGTTTTTCCCCACAAAGGGCTTTATTACAGACAGAAATACTCCTCAGCACCCCCTCTGACGATCCCGCAGGTGAAGAAGCCGGATGTGGAGGTCCTGGGCTGGCGTGGTTACGTGTGGTCTGCGGTTGTGAGGCCGGTTGGACATACTGCCAAATTCTCTAAAACGACGTTGGAGGCGGCTTATTGTAGAGAAATTAACATTCAATTCTCTGGCAACAGCTCTGGTGGACATTCCTGCAGTCACCATGCCAATTGCACGCTCCCTCAAAACTTGAGACATCTCTGACATTGTGTTGTGTGACAAAACTGCACATTTTAGAGTGGCCTTTCATTGTCCCCAGCACACAGTGCACCTGTGTAATGGTCATGCTGTTTAATCAGCTTCTTGATATGCCGACACCTGTCAGGTGGATGGATTATCTTGACAAAGGATAAAATGCTCACTAACAGGGATGTAAACAAATTTGTGCACAACATTTGAGAGAAATAAGCTTTTTGTGCATATGGAAAACTTCTGGGATGTTTTATTTCAGCTCATGAAACATGGGACCAGCACTTTACATGTTGCATTTATATTTTTGGTCAGTGTACATTAAAATGTCTTGGTTGTAGTGCCTTTCAACTTTCTAAATCCACCCTTCCAGTGGTATCAAGATAATCCAGATTTTCGGCATCAAAACGATCCTAATCACCTTTGAAAAACTACATTTAATCCTGATTAAAAGGTCAGATTGGATAACCAAATCCGAATCCCTATACGAAGGACCAGAATCAAATTATTCAGTTTTGTAAAAACCCAATTCTAACATTTAATCCTATCTGATTGCCGAAATCCGATCAATAACAGAACAATCCTCCCTATGCCCTGTAATCACGGGGATTTACATGATTAGTTGTTTACAATGTTGTAAACCATGAACCTCTTCATTATGTACACAAATTCAAACTGTATTTCAAGAGATCCAATCATTGGGAAAATTTGTATTATTTCAGTACACAGAGATGGGTCAACAAACCGGTATTCTCTTGAATAGGGGATTTCTGTATCTTTAATGCAACTAACTCTAATAAATAATATTTTATGCTATTCTTGACAGATAAATGTAAAAAAAGAAAAGATACGAAATGCACAAACATACTAAGTACACAAATAAATGCTATTAAAACGATGATTGAATGGCCAATAAGTTCATAGCCAAGGATAGGGAATCAGTTCAATTGTTTTAAAAGTACATTTTAAATGAAGTGTTCGGTAATTGGTTTTGGAGAAAGTGTGGGAAAAGCATGATCAGTTATTGTCAACAACATAACACGTGAAGTGTTGGATTTATGTACACAGGATATTCCAAAGCCAGAGTTCATGTTGATTGGCTGTCTGATAACAACAAATCTCCAGAAAATGTTCAAGGGAAGCTCATCAACGCAGCTGTAAATGTCCATTTCTTTTAGAACTGGGTGTTATTTTCAAACAGTCTAACTTCCACAATTGGTTTGCTGCCCTTTTTACAACATTTTCAATCTCATGAATCCTCTTCAAGCTGCAGCAACTCGTCCTGTAAGGCCTTGGCCCTTCCAAGCTTCTCCTGCTGCTCTTTTGTAGCTTGCTTGATTTCCCCAGAGTCCAGTTTCTGCTGCAGCTCCTCAACCTGCCTCAGCTTCTTTTTTATGTTCTTCATCTTCTTGGCCTTTTCTGCTGTTGCAGATGAAGGGTCATTAGTAGCTCCAGCTGGTTTAGATGCAGGCGTTACACTGTCACCGCCCTCTGCAATCGCCATATTCTCAACAGCATTTGTTAGTGATTCCACATTGCTATCCGGGCCTTGCTGCTTGCGCTTTTCCTTGCGTTTCATGTTTCGCTTGGCTGTCTTGGAGAGCCCAGCTGTCTCATTCTCTGCAATGCCTGGGATCCCCTGCTGCTGCCTTGCCTGGGCCGCATCCCCGGGGCTCATACCTGGTGGCAGGTCAGGCTTGTCCTTGAAGAACTTCACAAATTTATTCTCGTAGCTGAAAGCAAAGAGACAGATTTGCATAGAGGAAATGAGGACACAACCATTCTACAGCAGAGGCTTCTAACAAAATCCATATAAAGGTTGACTTGACAGAGGTCACTTTGTTAGGGTGCATTACTTACACAGGGACCTCTTCCTGAGGGGTATAACCATCCTTCACTCTACGAGGCTTCCTCCAAGTTCCATCAGGTCGCTGTGTAGCAGCAATGTATTTCCCTATAACAGGAGGAGCAAACATGAGCAAATATTATAAATTGACTGAAAACAATGCATTTATCTTGAACCAATTAATGTGTTTTGCTCAGCTGGTAGACTCTTGCTTGCTAAAACATTGCTCTGTGTGTGTGTTACAACAATAAACTGCTCACTGTACTACAGTGCATTTCGAGAGTTTGGGACTATAAGGTTCTATCTACATTTGTCAAAATTGAGTTATTGGCATAGCCTTGTTCTGTTCAATGTTCTCTACCTATACAGTACTCTAAATACCCCAATTCGCGATAAGTTCACTGATAACTGACACCATTCAAACCAATGAGGGTCCTGAACTTTAAAGACAATTATCTTAATCATCTTTTTGCAGATATAACCTTATAGTCCAAAGCTCTCGATTTGCCACGTTTGAACAGGACCCAGAACAATTTAATAGAATTGAATGTTTTATAGTCGTTATTAAGTAGCTAACGTTAGCTTGACAAATTTACACGGGCTAGCTAGCTAGCTAGCTACTGTATGTTAATAGGGGGAAATTCCACAGTAACAGAGTGATGCTGAGACTCAGCTCTTTTCACCCAAAAAAGAATACAACGATTGCAAAGTTAAACAAATCATACAACTCTATGCACAAGGGCTACTTTTATCAAAAACCAATGATTGCAAAGTTAAACAAACCATACAACTCTATGCACAAGGACTACTTTTAAACATTTCCACTGAACATTTTACAAAAACACTTTTACTTGAATAACAGAGCATATGAAAAGTTTGATAACAGAATGACGGTTTGTAGTGTTTGTGCTTTCATACTGTTAACAAACTTTGCATCTGCACTGTTCTTCAAGTACTTTTGTTTTTGTAAAAAAAAAAGTGGAAATTGTTAAAAGTAGTCATTGTGCATAGAGTTGTATGGTTTCATTAACTTAGCAACCATTGGTTTTTGTTTGACATACATTTTAAAGTGAAAAATCTGGGTCTCGGCATCACTGTTACCATGGCATTACCCATAATTTATAAGCGCTAACTAGCGTCTTTGCTAGCTAATGTATTTCAAATGAGCCACTTGCTGCTGGTACTACTAGTTATCTAACTAACTACTTTTGCCCCTAGCTTGGCTAGCCAACATAATCAGGTGTCCCATCTACCTAGTTAGTTAACACATAGCTAGCTACTAGCTAACTATAAATATTAGCTAATACGCTAGCTAACTAGCGCTAGTGTAGTGTGTTGTGTTTTAGTTAGTAACTTGTTAGCCAGCGCAGCAAGTAGCGCGCTGGAACAATTTGTTTACTCCACAACGCGAACGTCGCGGGGTTACTTTGCTGGGGTAGCTACGGGTTATTCATGCTACTGTGTGTTTATTCTCAAACGCCACCAATATTTAACTGGATGTCTGACTTGAACCAGCCTTACCAGATTGATCTTCAACATAGGGGGTTGCCATTTTGCTCAATTAACTGCTTCCGTTGGCAGGAATGACAGGAAGTGACGACCTCCTTACTGATAGTTCGTTTTGCATGGCCCAGTGCCCAGGTGAGTGACGCTTAAAGACCAATGGAATGGTCTAAATGAGCAAACTCCGCTCAACCGGGGCACCGGGCCATGTAAAAGGGTTCAACCCACTATTTTCACGCCACTTCGCCAGATGAGCGGTACTATACGTCAAAGTGGAAGGAGTGTCCGATGCGCGTCCACGTTCATCCGAGAACCCTCCGCCTGGGACCTCATTCATAACTTCTTCACCGACATGACATCATTATGGTGGGTTTATACTTTATAGTTTACAACTGCACTTTCATATGAATACATCATTTCGCTTTATTTGATTAACGATAGCTAGCTACCAAGTGGCTGAACCATCGGTGTATTCATTAAGTCTCGCAACGGAACACACTTACTGTTGAAGCAAACAGAACAAAACGGGGAGGGACCTACCTGAATTTGTCCAATGGGCCTTTCTCTTGCGGGGACCTTCTGAGAATTAATGTTTCCTGTTTTTCGCTGCCGCAGTAATGGCAGTTGCTGTACATTACGGGCAAAGACAGAACAAGGAGCATGAAAAGTAATTATCCGGTAAAACAAAATGTCAGTCATCGTTGTTACGGCCATTTTTCTATCGCATACACTAGACGTTAGCTAAGTTAACGTTTGCAAAACTAGCTAGGTAACGTTAGCAAAATATTAAAGCCTAAAAAGCTTAGCGTGCTGCCATAGAGCTTAAGGCTATGGATATAACGTATATACAATCAATTTTTTCAAAACATTACCGGTAAACATGCTTTATAGATATAATATAACCTTAACAACACTGCTAACACTGTGCCTAACCTTAAATGAAGACCAAAAATAAATGTCTTGTTTTCATAAATTTTTACGATCTTGCCAATGTTGACTGTTTGTGGGCTGGGCTTGTCTGTGGTAACTAGTGGAAACCAGCCTCATTAACCATAAGCACTGGTCATGCCTAGACGGGATCCATCTTTTGTCAAATTAACGTCAGATTTGACTTTTCGTAACACCTTAGGGGAAATTGACAACATTGTTAGGATAATTAACTTATTAGGTTAAGGTTGGCTAAAAAATCTACTTTTGACATTAATTTGATAAGCTGGATACGTTCTAGCCTTGACCATAAGTACTCTGTCACAGATAGAACAATGAGCCATATATCAAATCAAATTGTATTTGTCACATGCGCCGAATACCGTGAAATGTTTACTTACAAGCCCTTAACCAACAATGCAGTTTTAAGAAAATGCAAATAGTCCGGGTGGCCATTTGATTAATTGTTCAGGAGTCTTATGGCTTGTGGGTAGAAGCTGTTAAGGAGCCTTTTGGACCTGGACTTGGCGCTCCGGTACCGCTTGCCGTGCAGTAGCAGAGAAAACAGTCTATGACCTGGGTGACTGGAGACTTTGACAATTTTTTGGGCCTTCCTCTGACACCGCCTAGTATATAGGTCCTGGCTGGCAGGAAGCTTGGCCCCAGTGATGTACTGGGCCGCACGCACTACCCTCTGTAGCGCATTACAGTCGGAAGCCGAGCAGTTGCCATACTAGGTGGTGATGCAACCGGTCAGGATGCTCTCGATGGTGCAGCTGTAGAACTTTTTGAGGATCTGGGGACCCATGCCAAATCTTTTCAGTCTCCTGAGGGGGAAAAGGCGTTGTTGTGCCCTCTTCACGACTTTGTTGGTGTGTTTGGACAATGATAGTTTGTTGGTGATGTGGACACCAAGGAACTTGAAACTCTCGACCCGCTCCACTACAGCCCCGTCGATGTGAATGGGGGCGTATTCGGCCCTCCTTTTCCTGTAGTCCACGATCATCTCCTTTGTCTTGCTCACGTTGAGGGAGAGGTTGTTGTCCTGGCACCACACTGCCAGGTCTCTGACCTCCTCCCTATAGGCTGTCTCATCGTTGTCGGTGATCAGGCCTACCACCGTTGTGTCGTCAGCAAACTTAATGATGGTGTTGGAGTCGTGCTTGGCCACGCAGTCGTGGGTGAACAGGGAGTACAGGAGGGGACTAAGCACGCACCCCTGAGGGGCCCCCGTGTTGAGGATCAGTGTGGCAGATGTGTTGTTGCCTACCCTTACCACCTGGGGGCGGCCCGTCGGAAAGTCCAGGATCCAGTTGCAGAGGGAGGTGTTTAGTCCCAGTGTCCTTAGCTTAGTGATGAGATTTTGGGCACTATGGTGTTGAACGCTGAGCTGTAGTCAATGAACAGTATTCTCACATAGGTGTTCCTTTTGTCCAGGTGGGAAAGGGCAGTGTGGAGTGCGATTGAAATTGCGTCATCTGTGGATCTGTTGGGGCAGTATGTGAATTGGAGTGGGTCTAGGGTTTCCGGGATGATGGTGTTGATGTGAGCCATGACCTTCCAAAGCACTTCATGGCTACTGACATGAGTGCTACGGGGCAGTAGTCATTTAGGCAGGTTACCTTCGCTTTCTTGGGCACAGGGACTATGGTGGTCTGCTTGAAACATGTAGGTATTACAGACTTTGGTCAGGGAGAGGTTGAAAATGTCAGTGAATACACCAGTGGTGTGTTCAACAAGGGTAATAGTTTGCAAACATTGGCTAACATATTCCATTTGTTTTGTGTTAGCCGCGACCGTTAGCTAACGTTAGCTAACAGTCTGAGAAGATAGTGTGCGGCGAACGTAAGTGTCTGTTTCTGGTATAAATTGCCGCTAAAAATAATAAAGTAGCCATGTAGACTTTCTACTATATTTAGTAGGAATAGCTAAGTCATTTTCAGTTTGAATATTGTCACTAAAAAGCCACAGTAATCCTTACAAAAAGTAGCTGTTTGATGTTTCACCTTAACATTTTGGAATGTTCATTCAAATTGTTCAACTGAAATTGTTAGTCTGGCAACATGTTCGCTGCAAACAGAAGCCTTGTTGAACTCGCCTCATAAATGTGAAGCATCCGGTTGGCGTTTCCACTCACTACCAAATATGGTGATGAGAGGAAGCCCAGTGGCTGGCAGTGGTAGAAGATGGCGCAAGATGGATTTTGGCACACATTCTGCTAATTTTCTCATTGATGAAACATTTGATCTCGATATAGTTTTCTGTTTCCTAAACTAGAATATGTAACAAACAGAATGGACTGCGTTTTGTGGACTTTAGCTTTAGCCAAAGTAAAAAATGGTGTTGTTTTGGTGCACAAGGGCGAATTGAGTTATTGCATACGCGCACTTCACAAAGTAGGCGTTCCCTAACGGCAATATGCAAATAAATGCTAGAACCTGCCAATAGGATCTCACTAGCTCGTGCTTGGCTCTGTCCACCTTCTTGCTTGTTCTGCCCACACGTCAACGCTTGCTCCTGAGACCCCAGTTATCACTCCTTTCAACGGTGCCCTGCTCCGGAGAGAAAAGCAAGTCACAGTACTTATCCCTAGGCGCTTGGTATGAAGTGCCCACACCCTCTGGATAGTAGAAATGCAAAAAATCATCACAAGTCCACTTCTATTTACTTTCACCAACTCAACAGTCCCCCAACCTCTTCTCCACCCAATCTGACACCACCGCCAGAAGGCAAGGATCCATTCTCTCCAAAAATCGAACTCCCACTGGCCCGTAATCATCTTTCTCATCATCAGATCAAGGATCAATCTCTGCGGTCTTCACCGCAATTGCCACCACAGGTAATTCATCCTCACTCTTGTCAGGTGTAGTGGTAGATGTTGCCTTCGTCCACCTTTTACTTTTCTGTGTTCCTGGCATGCTGGATTCCCTTGCTTCGTCTTCTTCCCACCCATCCTCACTCTCGTCAGGTGTAGTGGTACAGTGCATTCGGAAAGTATTCAGAGCCCTTCCCTTTTTCCACATTTTGTTACGTTACAGCCTTATTCTAAAGTTGATTAAATATTTTTCTCCCTCATAAATCTACACACAATATCCCATAATGACAATGCGAAAACAGTTTTTTTGAAATGTTTGCAAATGTATAAAAAAAAAAAATACCTTATTGACATAAGTATTCAGACCCTTTGCTATGAGACTCGAAATTGAGCTCAGGTGCATCCTGTTTCCATTGATCATCCTTGAGATGTTTCTACAACTTGATTGGAGTCCACCTGTGGTAAATTCAAATGATTGGACATGATTTGGAAGGGCACACAGTGCATGTCAGAGCAAAAACCAAGCCATGATGGTCGAAGGAATTGTCCGTAGAGCTCCGAGAGGATTGTGTCGAGGCACAGATCTGGGGAAGGGTACCAAAACATTTATGTAGCATTGAAGGTCCCCAAGAACCCAATGGCCTCCATTCCAAAATGGAAGAAGTTTGGAACCACTAAGACTCTTCCTAGAGCTGGCCGCCCGGCCAAACTGAGCAATCGGGGGAGAAGGGCCTTGGTCAGGGAGGTGACCAAGAACCCAATGGTCACTCTGACAGAGCTCTAGAGTTCCTCTGTGGAGATGGGATAACCTTCCAGAAGGTCAACCATCTCGGCAGCACTCCACCAATCAGGCCTTAATGGTAGAGTGGCCAGACGGAAGCCACTCCTCAGTAAAAGGCACATGACAGCCCGCTTGGAGTTTGCCAGAAGGCACCTAAGGACTCTCAGACCATGAGAAACAAGATTCTCTGGTCTGATGAAACCAAGATTAATCTCTTTGGCCTGAATGCCAAGCGTCATGTCTGGAGGAAACCTGGCACCATCCCTACGGTGAAGCATGGTGGTGGCAGCATCATGCTGTGGGGATGTTCTTCAGCGGCAGGGACTGGGAGACTAGTCAGGATCGAGGGAAAGATGAACGGAGCGAAGTACAGAGAGATCCTTAATGAAAACCTGCTCCAGAGCGCTCAGGACCTCAGACTGAGGCGAAGGTTCACTTTCCAACAGGACAACGACCCTAAGCACACAGCCAAGACAACGCAGGAGTGGCTCCGGGACAAGTCTCTGAATGTCCTTGAGTGGCCCAGCCAGAGCTGGGACTTGAAACCAATCGAACATCTCTGGAGAGACCTGAAAATAGCTGTGCAGCGACACTCCCCTTCCAACCTGACAAAGCTTGAGAGGATCTGCAGAGAAGAATGGGAGAAACTCCCCAAAAACAGTTGTGCCAAGCTTGTAGAATCCTACCCAAGAAGACTCGAGGCTGTAATCGCTGCCAAAGGTGCTTCAACAAAGTACTGAGTAAAGGGTCTGAATACTTATGTAAATGTGATATTTCCTTTTTATTTTAAATACATTTGCAAATTGTGTGTAGCTTGTTGAGGGGGGGGGGGGAATAAGGCTGTAACGTAACAAAATGTGAAAAAAGTAAAGAGGTCTGAATACTTTCAGAATGCACAGTGTATGTTGCATTCTTCCATCATTTAATTGTCTGTTTTCCTGCCATGCTCAACATACTTTCATTGACCTCCACGCTCTGCCGTCGCATGAACCATCTTCTTTCTACAGCCACCTTCTAACAATATTTATTAATTCGGTTTCCTTTATTTTTAGACTTCCTCCTCTTCCCAAGCGCGCTCTGTCTCCTTAACCACCCTCTCGAGCATGCCTTCCCGACTGCTGAACGTGCCTGCGCCGGATGTCATTCATTTGAATGCGGACTGTCCACAACGGAGTGGAATCGCAAACCCAACTTGGAATTCTGACTTGGATGACCTTTGAAAACGATTTTCCCAGTCTGAGTTTGTTTTTCCCCTGAGTTTCCAGTTGTCTTGAACACACTGAAGTCAGAAGTCGGAGATTTCCCATTTCCCAGTTGTTTTGAACGCGGCATGACTTCAATGTGCGAGGCTTTAGATACGGCTGTTTTCTCTCTCGAATTCGAACAAAGAGGTACGCTACAACAGGACTTGCTCTTGGTTTGTGCCATTTCTATTGAGAAAAGACTATTCACCTTAGACCGGATATAGGATTTCCCAGATTTTCCCCAAAACGCCGGGTCATGAGAGATTCTCTAAAAACACGGCACTTCGATAAAGCTACGACTTTTACGTAACAGGTTAGGAGAACTTACGCAGCAGGTTAAGATAATTAACGTAAGAGGTTAGGATAATTAGGTTAAGGTTAGGAAAAGGATTAGGGTTATCGAAAATGCTCTCCTAACCTGCTACGAAAAGTCACTTTTATCGAAGAAATTTGTTTTTACAGAGTTCCCGGCAGAAAGCGGATATTTCTGGTTTTAGGGATACAGTATTTTCAACCCAACTTCCGTTTCCCCTGAAAAACGGATGTGGGGATTCCGCTCAAGTGTCTTTTTACGCCTGCTACTTTAGGTTAGTTTGGATTAAACCGTTTCTTTGAGGCAGAATAAACGTTTCTCAACAGAATCGGCATAATGAATAAACCCCAGTTTTCCTAAGTGAACAATGTGTAACGTAAGTTTTGCTTGCTAGCCAACCAACAACGTCAATGCCGCTATCAAGCCAATTTACTAAGATTACCTGAATGAATTGTATGAAACTGATCATGATTTAATCTAATTTCAATGCGATTGGTTAGTCAACATGCAATAATACCTGTATACTGTCAATATCACTGAGATGAATTATTTGCGTGTAGATTACCAAAATCAGATTAACTGAGCCTAGCCTTCCCTTTTCCCCCTCCCTTTTCAGTGATTGTGATGTGAACTACAAAAAAATGCAAACCAATACTTCAGGTCAGTATGATCAATAATCATGCCTAAATACATTGATATGAATGATATGAATGTGAGTTGTACAGTAGAAGACCTAGCTGAATAAGCTGTATGTGAGCATCTCTCCCTCTCTCTGTATGTTTGTCATTCTCTCTGTCTCTCTATTTCTGTGTCTATAAGATGTATCTACATGTACTTTACACACAGGAGGCTGTTGAGGGGAGGACGGCTCATAATAATGTCTGGAATGGAGTGATTGGAAGGTTATCAAACACATGGAAACCATGTGTTTGATACCATTCCATTTATTCAGTTCCAGTGATTACTATGAGCCCGTCCTCCCCAATTAAAGTGCCACCGGCCGCCTGTGACTTCACAATATGTAGGCCTAGACTTCTTCAACTACCAAAAACAGATTTTTATCCACTCTGAAGAAATCTATGATGTGTATGATATGGTGTGAGCTTTACAGTAGACCTAGCTACATAAACTGTATGTGTGTGAGAGTCTGTCTCTCTGTCTATAGCTAGGTTTCCTTCCAATTGGTGACAGATTTTCATGCGAATATTCTCAAATCTGCATAAAGAAAATATGCAAATCTTCCCACCAGTGGTGTGTTTCCACCAAACAGACTTGTTGCGGATTTAAATCAGTACATGATGACATCGTGTACACAAAATGTACTTTTTCGCTTAAGTTTTCATGTACCGAATAAAAATCTAAAGTTGAATGCGTTTCCATCGCATTTTCAACTCTACCGTTAGTTTTGTCACAAACTTTTGCGTTTAAATAGCAGTAAAAAGCTGTAGAAAGCTCTCAACAAATCCCTAAGTATTAAAATGTAACAAAATATCAAATTTAAAAAATGACCAGGTAAGACATGGCATCGTGGGACCCATGGCAACACACACATAACCGTGGCAACGGCCAATGGTATGGAAATTAAAGGACATAAAGGCAAAAATCACTGACCAAACTGTAACCAAGTTGGGGATGTGGGAGTTTAGTTGAGTCTGTAAACAGTCAAAAAGCTGCACTCTGGTCTTGGTACATGCACTCTAGCCAAGAGCTGGCAGATACAGTGTGGGTAGGCTAGTCTACATGATGAGATTATTATGGATAAGATAATGTTTTTATTTGTCAAACAGCAGTCAAGCATTGATCATCATGTCACCAGAATCAGACCATCGATATTTATTGGAAAGGAGCATCAAGATCACTGTGCACCACCCTGTGAAGTTATTTAATCTGTAGCCTAATAAACTGCATTGTTTCCCGAGTCGTAGTGGGAGGACCACACACACACCATATCATTGTGTGACTCAAAGTTTACTTCGATATGATGGTTATTATATCAATATTTGCGCATAAAGGTGTTTCCACTGCCATTTCTTGCATAATTAATTTTACAGACACAAAAAGATCCCACCATGTCGAACAAACAAATTATTTGTAGGCATTTATAAAATTGTACCAAAACGTCCTGTTTCCATCACAGCCGTCATTTAAAAAATATATATATGGTATGATTTTACTTGCATAAAAACTGGATGGAAACCATACTCGCATAAAAACTGGATGGAAACGTGATTTATGTCTCTGTTTCTCTAAGATTTTTTTCATTTTCACATTCAACAGATCTAGCCTGGATTCCTGCCTCTTTCAAAGTTATAAGTAGGAGCAATGGCTACATATCCGGCACCGTGAAATCTGAGGAAGAATTGGGGTCCTTGCTAGAAAACCACAAAAGAGCCACGTACACTTCATTCAATACATGGTAGGTCTGAATGTGTCAATTTAGTCCATGCAATTACATTTTGTTGATTAGATATTTTAGTGGTTTTGCATATATTATTCTCTGATTTTTTTATATATATATATATATATATATGCTTTTTACCTCTGTATTGATTTACCTTCTGGTGATCCTCTAGGTCTGAACACAAAAAGGATCAAATTAAAAGAAGGCTACTTTGGCAAGTGGAGGATTATGCAGATGATGTTCCCGTTTGTGTTGAAAAAAGAGCTATCCTTGCCTGCCAGCATGGCAAAGCATCGAAAAGACATTCTACAGCTGAGGTACATTGTCTAGTGTCATTATAAGGAATTCATATATACCCATAGAATTTGAATTGTCTAAAGGCATAATGGGTTAAGTAAACCTATCATAACCCCAAATCAAAGGTTGTAGTACTCCATTGTTAGTTGTGCCTTCTTCATTACTTCTTCACTCATTGACTCATTGATTGGTAACTTCTTCATTCATTGACAAATGTGTCTATAGGAACAGCCTTCAGAACATGTATATAGCAAGAAAAGGTTATATGTGCAGAGGGGCAAAAAAGTGGACTGTCCAGCAAAGCTTTTCATTCGGCATGTAACTAGGTGAGTTAATTAGCACAGTAAAAAGTAATGGATGTTTCAACAATGCCTCTAATTTCTCTAAGCTTTGATTAAATATGTACTAAACTGTTTTCTTTAAGGTATGACACATTTAGTGTCAAGGGGGATGCTTCGAGAGCAAAGAAACAAGAAGCAATGAAAAGACTGAAGGAGGCATTGACTCAGACAAGCCCAGCTACATCATCATCATTCATTCATGTCAAGCTCCCAATCGCTGAAGCACACCAAAACCACATTATCAATGAAGCAAGTTGCTTTAAAAGGAAGATACATCCACAAGAAAACATGGGGCAGGACAGAGACACCAGACAGCAGGAAGAAAACATGGGGCTGGACGGAGACACCAGACAGCAGGAAGAAAACATGGGGCTGGACGGAGACACCAGACAGCAGGAAGAAAACATGGGTCAGGACGGAGTCAGGGAAAACCACATCACAGCTGAACAGTGTGCGTTAAGAGATGAATTAAACAAAATAATGGATGCTACTTATCTATGTCAAGACATCGAGACCTTACAAAAGACAAAGGAAGCTGTGGCAGACATTCGAAAGTCCTTCATTGGCTCCTGTCCAAAAGGGAATGGTCTTCCGTTGCTGAGCAAAGAGAACCAAATGATGAGAGAAAACAATCAAATGCTTAGAGCTCTCCCACCAAGAGTGAGAAAAGGAAAACTTAAGGGACAGTTTGAAATTTACTGGGGTGGGGCGGGGGGTCCAAAATAGGGGAGGGTTGTCTAACTGGGGAGGATTGTGTGCAGGCGCGTAATTTGCAGGGGGAATGCCACTCCCCACCAAATACGGTAATGAGAGGAAGCCCAGTGGCCCGCAGTGGGATTTTGGCCGACATTCTGCAAATTTTCTCATTGATGAAACATTTGATCTCAATACAGTTTTCTGTTCCCAAAACTAGAATCTGTTATAAGCAGAGTTGACTAAGTTTTGTATACTTTACCCTTTGCCAAGGTTTCCAAAAAATGGTGTTGTTTAGAAGGAGTGCAAGGGCGAATTGAGTTATTGTACACGCGCACTTCACAGAGTAGGCGTTCCATAACGGAAATATGCAAATACATGGATAGCTCGTGCTTGGCTCTGCCCACCTCATTGCTTGTTCTGCCACTATGATTAATTTGCTCCCATTGGAAACGACAGGCTGTGGTCTATCATAGGGGTACAGTATAAACATCTTTGACAGTGCTACTCAGTTACACATTTTTATAATGGGGTTGACACTGGAACCCATTGACCCTGACCCCCCCCCCCCCCCCCCCCAAATGCAACACAAAGTTACGCCCTTGGTTGTGTGTTTTTTTTTATTGGGCACGGGATGGTAGTGTGTTTCTTCCCTGGTTGAAGGTTTTACTATGTAAACTCTTCCATCCTAGCCAAATTTCCTCATCTGCTTGCAAGCACCTCCCTTATTTTTGATTTGTTACTTCCCTTATGCACTACGCTTTTTTCCGCACGCTTACTATACCACAGGTCAATATAGTCTACCAGTCTGTCTATCCTGCCATTCATAGTGACAATAGTGGTAGGTGGACTGTTTGTCCAGATCTGCAATAGGCTAACTACCAATCATACCACACAAAATCATTCAAAGCATCACCAATTTTCAATATAAATCCACAAGAACATAGAGGAATAGCTGATAAGCAGCGGAGAGGCCAGGTGTGTCATTGCACATGAACCAACAGTGAAGACATGAGACACGCAGCTCAAAAAGCTCCCCTATTGATCCTGTTTAGGGAAAATACAATTATCCTACCTGGGACTCCCTAAAAACACGGCACTTTGCCCAAAGTGATTTTCGTAGCAGGTTAGGAAAGCGTTTTTGCTAACCCTTTTACTAACCTTAATCTAATTCTCCTAATGCGCTACATTAATTATCATAACCTGCCTAGACTAGCCTGCAACACCACAATGCAATGAATAATTGCATCATTGTTTTCTAGTGAGAACAACATTCTACTCTAGGCTGTAAACTGCAGTGAAAATGTAATTTGAATAACTGCGCAAAAGTCCTGTGATGTGAATGTTTCATTCCATTAATTCCATATCGATCAGTTTTGGGTCTACTCTCGACAGTTTATAAGTATTTAGTATTTATTATTAGGATCCCCAATAGCGATGGAACCCTGACCTGCCAAGGCAGCAGCAACTTTTCCTGGGGTCCAAACAGGATTAAAACAATTACATCATAATAAAACAGCCTACATCAAAAAATAAAACAATACATCATACACTACATTATTCCATTACTCCATCATTACAAATGTACAATATAAAATGTACAATACTACAATGTGTTTGTGTGTAGAGTGCTTGTGTTATAGTGCCTTCGGAAAGTATTCAGACCCCTTGATTTCTTTCCACATTTTATGTTATAGCCGTATTCTAAAATGGATTAAATAAATACAAATCCTCATCAATCTACACACAATACCCCAGAATGACAAAGCGAAAACAGGTTTTTAGAAACATTTTGAAATATATAGGAAATTAAAAACCGATACCTTGTTTACGTAAGTATTCAGACCCTTTGCTATGAGACTCGAAATTGAGCTCAGGTGCATCTTAGTTTCCATTGATCATCCTTGAGATGTTTCTACAACTTGATTGGAGTCCACCTTTGGTAAATTCAATTGATTGGACATGATTTGGAAAGGCACATACCTCTCTATATAAGGTCCCACAGTTGAAAGTGGTTTGTCAGAGCAAAAACCAAGCCATGAGGTCGAAGGAATTTTCCGTAGAGCTCCGAGACAGGATTGTGTCGAGGCACAGATCTGGGGAAGGGTACCAAAACATTTCTGTAGCATTGAAGGTCCGCAAGAACACAGTGGCCTCCATCATTAAATGGAAGAAGTTTTGAACCACCGAGACTCTTCCTAGAGCTGGCCGCCCGGCCAAACTGGGCAATCGGGGGAGAAGGGCCTTGGTCAGGGAGGTGACCAAGAACTCGACGGTCACTCTGTGACAGAGCTCTAGAGTTCCTCTGTGGAGATGGGAGAACCTTCCAGAAGGACAACCATCTCTGCAGCACTCCACCAATCAGGCCTTAATGGTAGAGTGGCCAGACGGAAGCCACTCCTCAGTAAAAGACACATGAGAGCCCACTTGGAGTTTGTCAAAAGGCACCTAAAGACTCTCAGACCATGAGAAACAAGATTATCTGGTCTGATGAAACCAAGACTGAACTCTTTGGCCTGAATGCCAAGCGTCACGTCTGGAGGAAACCTGGCACCATCCCTACAGTGAAGCATGGTGATGGCAGCATCATGCTGTGGGGGATGTTTTTCAGCGGCAGGGACTGGGAGACTAGTCAGGATCGAGGCAAAGATGAACAGAACGAAGTACAGAGAGATCCTTGATGAGAACCTGCTTCAGAGCGCTCAGGACCTCAGACTGGGGTGAAGGTTCACCTTCCAACAGAACAACGACCCGAAGCACACAGCCAAGACAACGCAGGAGTGGCTTTGGGACAAGTCTCTGAATATCCTTGAGTGGCCCAGCCAGAGCCCGGACTTGAACCCAATCGAACATCTCTGGAGAGATCTGAAAATAGCTGTGCAGCAACGCTCCCCATCCAACCTGACAGAGCTTGAGAGGATCTGCAGAGAAGAATTGGAGAAACTCTCCAAATACAGTTGTGCTAAGCTTGTAGCGTCATACCCAAGAAGACAGCGATGCTGTAATCACTGCCAAAGGTTCTTCAACAAAGTACTGAGTAAAGGGTCTGAATACTTACAGTGAGGGAAACAAGTATTTGATCCCCTGCTGATTTTGTACGTTTGCCCACTGACGAAGAAATTATTAGTCTATAATTTTAATGGTAGGTTTATTTGAACAGTGAGAGACAGAATAACAACAAAAAAATCCAGAAAGACGCATGTCAAAAATGTTATGAATTGATTTGCATTTTAATGAGGGAAATAAGTATTTGACCCCCTCTCAATCAGAAAGATTTCTGGCTCCCAGGTGTCTTTTATACAGGTAACGAGCTGAGTGCTCTTAAAGGGAGTGCTCCTAATCTCAGCTTGTTACCTGTATAAAAGACACCTGTCCACAGAAGCAATCAATCAATCAGATTCCAAACTCTCCACCATGGCCAAGACCAAAGAGCTCTCCAAGGATGTCAGGGACAAGATTGTAGACCTACACAATGCTGGAATGGGCTACAAGACCATCGCCAAGCAGCTTGGTGAGAAGGTGACAACAGTTGGTGCGATTATTCGGAAATGGAAGAAACACAAAATAACTGTCAACTCCCGTCGGCCTGGGGCTCCATGCAAGATCTCACCTCGTGGAGTTGCAATGATCATGACAACGGTGAGGAATCAGCCCAGAACTACACGGGAGGATCTTGTCAATGATCTCAAGGCAGCTGGGACCATAGTCACCAAGAAAACTGTTGGTAACACACTACGCTGTGAAGGACTGAAATCCTGCAGCGCCCGCAAGGTCCCCGTGCTCAAGAAAGCACATATACAGGCCCGTCTGAAGTTTGCCAATGAACATCTGAATGATTCAGAGGAGAACTGGGTGAAAATGTTGTGGTCAGATGAGACCAAAATCGAGCTCTTTGGCATCAACTCAACTCGCCGTGTTTGGAGGAGGAGGAATGTTGCCTATGACCCCAAGAACACCATCCCCACCGTCAAACATGGAGGTGGAAACATTATGCTTTGGGGGTGTTTTTCTGCTAAGGGGACAGGACGTCTGACCTCTGTGATTGGCAACAAGGGTTTTGGCCACCAAGTACTAAGTCATGTTTTGCAGAGGGGTCAAATACTTATTTCCCTCATTAAAATGCAAATCAATTTATAACATTTTTGACATGTGTTTTTTCTGGATTTTGTTGTTATTCTGTCTCTCACTGTTCAAATAAACCTACCATTAAAATTATAGACTGATCATGTCTTTGTCAGTGAGCAAACGTTCAAAATCAGCAGGGGATCAAATACTTTTTTCCCTCACTGTACGTAAAGTTGATATTTCCGGGTTTTTTTATTTATAAAGTAGCAAAAATAAATAACCTGTTTTTGCTTTGTCATTATGGGGTATTGTGTGTAGATTTATGAGGGAAAAAAACAATTTCATCAATTTTAGAATAAGGCTGTTAACGTAACAAAATATGGAAAAAGTCAAGGGGTCTTAATACTTTCCAAAGGCACTGTATGTGCGTATGCGTGTCTCTTCACAGTTTGCGTGGTGCCGTGAGGTGTTGTTTTACTGCTTGTGTAAACACTTCCTCTCGATTCGGCTCATACCTGGCGCGAACTCGGGACCTCTGCCTTGCTAGCACGTGACCACCCTCCTGAAGCTTCTTACCAGTCAGCGCCACACGAAAAAGCTAGCTATTTTCTGGCACAAGTGGGGACACTTCAGGCTGAAGAGTAAGTTTCACACATCCCTATGTGCAACACTCACTTGTTACTTGATGTCGAGGAGAGTTTCATGTAGTCATGGCTCTATGTAGTACTGTGCGTTTCCCAGAGTCCATTCTGGACTTGGGGACTGAGAAGAGACCCCTGGTGGGATGTCTTGTGTGGGGTGTGTATGGGTGTCTGAGCTGTGTGGAA